GGGGATGGCCACACCACAATCCCTTCTCCTCTTGGGATCTTGGGCACGCACGCACACGCACCCGGTGTGAGTTTTAAGTCACCAGGTCCACGACTCAAACCATGGTCGACCTCATGGGAGTCCAGCGACATAGCCATTACGCTAACTGCTGGTCCCGAAACAATTCTTTAAAAAGAGTAATAGCAAATAAAATTAAATAAGTAAATAATTTTTTAAAAAGAAGACCCTATTTGGTAGGCTCTTTTTTCCTGTTTTCCTTTTCCTCTCTGTCTTTCTCTCATAGGAGAAATGAGTGAATAAAACGTGGAAAAGAAAAGTTGCCAGAATTGTACTGGAGGACACCCAGCTGGTCCCCATGCAAGAATTGCTTGGTGTGTGGAGACAATTCCCACGTGTAGAAGTGTGGCCAAAGTGTTGTGTCCGAGGTGTGCAGAGTAGTGTGGGTGCAGAGGGACAGAACAGGTGTTTTCACTTTTATTTTTTCTCACGGGGGTCCCCGCAACTCTTGGTCCACCTGTCTGGCATTTTCTAGGACCTTTCTGTATGAACCTGCAGGGCTGACTCCATACCCAGCCCTCCTTGTTCCCGGAGGTGAGCCCCCTGTGTCAGTCTGAGCTGATCATAAGCCCCCAAGCCTGCGCAAGGTGATGGGTAGAGCATGATCACGTGACCAAAAGTCCTTACCTGGATTAACTATCGGAAAGTGGGCTTTCTTCTTGCCGCTAATGAGATGGTTAGAATTGGACAAAAATTGCCCGGAGATTCCAGGTCTCCCCTTCCCAGAATGGTCTGTGGAGAAATGGAGAGAAAAAGAGATGAGAGCTCAGACACTGTTCTTCGAGCACCTGGATCCAGCCATGCCTGAAGCTGTCCATTGGTTAGTAGAGCTGATAAATTTCCATGGGTTTGTGTTTCCACCCCCAGTGATCCAAAGTGTCCTAAGATGACCGGACAACCACAAGGGTGGTCAGCTGGTCACTCACTCGGTCCCTCTTTTAATAGCAACTGGCTCTTTGGGGTAGAGGCAGCTGCCGGGATGCTGGGCTTTGAGTCCCTCCCTCGGGTACTAAGAAGCACAGGGGCTCAGGGGCAGGGGGGGTGGGGCCCCGAGACGCTGAGCTGGGCGAGTCTTGCCCACCTCGTAAGCACTTATGCAAGGACTTTCTCTGTGCATCCATACACTTCATTGCCTTCCTCACTAGCCTGTTCCGTGGGTCCCCACACAGCGGCTTGCGTCTTTGAGGGAAGAAGAACCTGTGGGTTCAGAGAGGGCACCTGGTTAGAGTGTAAGGGGCGGACAACACCGTCTGTGAGCGCCCCTCTGCCCAGCCCCCATCGCCCCACTCACATCACGGCGCGAAGATTGCAGCTTCCGCTCACCTCCTGGAGCTTATAATTCTGTGCGAACCGAAGCTTTTGCTGCAAGCCCTGCTTGTCGTAAGACAGACAGCAGTCTCCAAAGACACCTGCAAGCACACGGCCGCCCGCTCGTTCACGTCAGTGCCACGGGCACCGTGGGCACCCACTCGCACACGTGGGCCCAAAATCCCGAAAGGAGAAGGGAGGAGACGGGACTGCAGCATGGCCATCCCCCTGGGGAGTGATTGCTCTTTCTCTCTCTGTCTCTCACTGTCTCTCTCTGTCTCTAGGTGAGCACATGCACTCTCTAGCAAAAATCTCTCTTAAAGGAAAAAGGAAGCCTCAGGGAGCAGCAGGTGGCGTGGTGGTTAAGGTACTGGACACTCCCCCATGGCTAGCTATGGTTTGAGTCCTGGGCCTGGCGGCTTGCTTTCTCACTTTCTCTTTCTCTTTCTGGTCAAATTAAAATAAGTGAGTGAATAAATACAATTTTTTTTTTGTTTTAAAAAAAGGAAGCTTCTGAGGCCAGCAGGTGGCGTGGTGGTTAAGAGAGCACTGGTCTCCCACATGGCCGGCTGCAGTTCAAGTCCCAGACCTGGAGGCTTACTTTCTCACTTTTCTCTCTCTCTCTTTCTCTCCCATTCTATCCCTCTCTGGTCAAATTAAAAAAATAATAAATAAATAAAATAATTACTTTATTTATTTATTGTTATTATTTTTTGAGAGGTTTTTGTTATAGGGCATCTGCACTCACCAGAAAGACAGAGAGAGACAGAAAGACAGAAAGTGAGAAATCACCCCCCAGGGGGAATGGCCACACTGCAATCCCTTCTCCTCCAGTCTCCTCTCGGGATCTTGGGCACGCACGCACACGCGCCCGGTGTGAGTTTTAAGCCACCACGTCCGGAACTTGAACCATGAATGACCACGTGGTAGTCCAGTGACATAGCCATTACACAAACTGCTGGTCCCTATTTATTTGCTTTTGAGAGGGAGAGAGAAAGCCAGCTGCCAGGTCTGGGATTCTTAACCACCACGCCACCTGCTGGCCCCAATAAAATAATTCTTTAAAAAAAATAAAGAAAGGAAAAAGGAAGCCTCCAGAGCCCTTGATACAGAGATTGCTAGCAGATGCTAGCAGAGAGGGCCCTAGGGGCGCTGGGAGGGCGTGGCCCACCGTCACGCCAAGGCCACTTCTGTTCCCAGTCTGGGTCGGAGGGCAAGTGAGGCCGAACAAGGCAGGTGCAGCACCCTGGAGAGGGGAGTGGAGATGAGGGAGCAGAGGCCCTGGGGGTGCCCCAGAGGGCAGGGGGAGGCGCTGATGCCAGGAAGAGCTGGGGGGAAGAGCTGTGTACTGAACAGCTTGGCTCTTTATTGTGGGTCTATTTGAACATTTCTGAGCTCCCCCACCCAGACAGGCCTTCGAGGTCCTCTGCAATCTGTCGCTGCCTCCAGGAGCCATGTCTGCATCCTGGCAGGGCGACAGGGAGGGCTCGAGCCCTCCTGGCATCCCCACCCTGGGGACAAGGGGCAGAGGAGTCCGTTGGCTGCTGAGCCAGGCAGGTCGTTGCCCAGGCTGGGGGCCACCTCTTCCTCCATGATCAAAGGGCTGGGTTTGGGCCTGGCTCTGATAGTAGGACAGTGGAAGGGCAAAGGCTAAGTTCTAGAAGGGGAAGAGCCAGGGGCAGGGGCCGGGGCAGGCGGGGCAGGACGGTGGGGCCCCTGCTTGCTGGCTGCTGGGGTCCGTGGGCCTCCCCAGGGACTACATGGGTGTTGGCTGCAGCGTCCGGACTCCGAGAGGGACGCTGCATGCCAGAACTGTCCTTAGGCCACTGACATCCTCAAATGCCTGATCTGGGGTGCAGAGGGGAGGAAGTAAAGGGGCTCCCCATTAATAACAGTAACGGTTATTGTTGTTGCTGGGAGCTGAGCCAAGAGTTTTTGCAGGCCTCCGCTCATTGCATCTGGCATGGCAGATCCTGTCCTGCCGAGGAGGAAACTGAAGCTCATGAAGTATTCAGTAGCGATTCTAGGCCCGACTGCACGGGATGGCGTGAGGGGTTGGGGCCGTGCTGGAAGTCTATGCCTGTGGGTCTCCGGGCTCTGGTCTCCAATCCACCCAACTCTGAGGGCTGGACACTACCATGGGAACCACCCTCTGCTCCTCACCTCCCTAGGCCTTTCCCCGAGTCTGGCCAAGGAGACACCCCAGGGGCTCTGGAAGAAGTTTCTAGGGACCTTCCCTCTCATGCAGCCCCCTCCCACCAGGGGCTGCCCAAATGCTTGGACTTTCTGCATGCCAGGGGCAGCGGCCAGCGTGGGTGGGATGGAGGGAGGCGTCTGGAGCAGGAGTGGACTCATGGGGTGGGATGGGGAGACAGGGAGGGAAGATGGGAGAGGGAGGGTCCAGAAACAGTACCTTGGGCCCGGACATCGGGGCTCCAGGCCGCCAACAAGCAGCCCACCAAGCAGGCCAGGAGCCACAGGTTCATGGCGCAGGCCGGTCCTCCTCCCTGGATGCCTGGAGAGAGAAATGGGCCCCCGGGGAAGCGGGGGATGCAGTGAGGAGGATGGTGGTAGGCCCCCCTGGCCCTCGGAAGGGAGGCGATGCACAGGAGTTGGAGTGCGTTGGAGGGCCTGCTGTGGGCTCAGCTGGGGTGCACACCTCGCTCTTCCACCTGCAGAGCCAGCAGGCTGGGCTCCACCCTTTATAGGACACGGCTCCACCTGGTCACACCTGCTCCTCCCTCTCTCCTTCCTCCCCCCTACCTGCTCGCAGACACTCCAGGCTCCCCTCCCGGACCAAGCCCTGCCCTCCACCCACCCTTCAAGGGCTGGCTGTGTCCAGCCTAGCACCCCTGCCTAGTCCCTATTTCCTCTGGTCCCCTCACCTGCACACATCTGGGTGGACAAGCCTCAGGCCACGTAAAGCCCTGCACCCCTGTTTCTACGGGCCCCTGAATCCACCCTACTTTTCTCTCCTTCTGCACTGTGGGGTGACTTAGCACAGAAATGCCCTGGCTTGGAGTATAAGCGAACTCATAGAAACAGAAAGTATTAGGTTGTGGGGGAAGTCATGACTTTTTTTTTTTTTTTTTGGAGAGGTTTTTGCTATAGGGCGCGTGCGCTCGCCAGAAAGACAGGGAGAGACAGAAAGCGAGAAATCACTTCCCAGGGGGTATGAACTTGCCGCAATCCCGTCTCCTCCATTCTCCTCTCGGGATCTTAGGCACACACGCACATGCGCCTGGCTTGAGTTTAAGCCACCGGGTCCGGGACTCGAACCGTGGTCCAGCAACATAGCCATTACGCTAACTGCTGGTCCCAAATGTTGTATTTTTGTAAGAAAAGTCGAGAGCCAGCCCCCAGATCACTATGCCCGTGGGAAACAAAGCTAAATTCATCTACAGGGCACTTTCCCTGGGTCTCTGTGACCCACGACGAATAGGAGCGAGGGGCCGGGGGAGGTGGGGTTCACACGGGTGCCCTGTAGAGATCTCTCCGCTGATCGCTTAACGTTTTATCGCCCGTATCGGCGGTTACATCTAATCTCTCCGGATATTTAACGCATCCTGAACCCTGTCCCTTTCTCATCTCTCCTTCTCCGCTGAGGGCCCCTCAAGGCCGGGCCGAGAACCTGGGCGTGGGACTTAGCGGGAGCGTGGGCAGGTGCAGCGGGTCCTGCACCCCCCCTAGGCCCTAGCACCGCCCGGGTTCCTCTGTCTCTCGCTCTGGGTGGGTGAGGCTGGGCTAGGACGCGGCTGCGCGTGGCTGCGAGCGTGGGGACGCCGCAGGGCGGGTCAGGGCCAGCATCCCGGCTATGGCCCACTGCCCTCTACCTGCCAGCCGGCAGACTGGGACTTGCTGGCGGTCCCCAGATTTGTTGTGAGCCCGCCCCTTACGGCTTGTGTCACCTGCAGTCTTCAAGGGGAAGAGGGGGTCTGAGCGAGGGAGCCCCCGAGGGACCAGGACGCCGGGTGCACTGCAGTGTACGCGCTGCAGGCCGAAGTGGGTGTTCGCACTGGGGACCCAGGTGTCTGGGTGCGGGACGGGCGCTGGGGTGACAGGGACCAGAGTAGAGCTGGGAGTTCTGAGGGGTGCTCGGACTGAATTGGGGGTGTCTAGGTCTCGTCCATCCCTACATCTGCTGGGGAACAGTAAGACGAACCATAACCAGCAAGGACCTCTTCTCAGCAAGTGTGAAATGAGCGCAGCTGTGCAGGGGGAACCAAATCCCCACACCTGCTGGCTTCAGCGCCCCAGCTTTGAGGATGGGTGTATTTGGGTATGGGTGTGTTTGGGGGTGGTCTCCTGTAGCTCAGTCAAATTCAGAACTGGTCACACCCCAGATCCTGCAGAGCTGGGAGAGCAGGCAGTGTCTTACTTAATAAGGGGGGGTTCAAGTGGCATGGTGGCTAAGAGCGCTGGACTCCCACATGGTCGAACACGGTTCGAGTCCCGGATCTGGTGGCTTGCTTTCTCTCTTTCTCTCTCTTGTTCACTCTGTCTCTCTCTAGTCAAAATAAATAAATGAATAAAGTTAGATAAAAATTTAAAATATTAAAAAAATAAGTGTGGGGAGGGTCAGCTGCCGTGGCCAAGAAGTAGCGGGGGGTTCCTCTCAGAAGGGCTACTCCTCTCCGCCCCCTCCTCCAATGGAGGAGGGCACTTACAGTGAGGACACACAGATCAAAGATCCTCCAGGGCACTTGCTGTCACCAAATTGAACAGAAGAGATTAAGAGTCACAGAGGCCAAGTCAATCACTTTAAAAAAAATATTGTTGAAGAAAGGGGAGTGACCCTGTAACAGTGAATCACCGCAGAGCAAAGGCGTAGGGGACACCGGGGGAGCACTGCAGGCTGAAGTGGGGGTTCGCCAACAGTCCCTTTGGCATATGAGGCTTTAGGCGGTGCCCACGGTCTCCTGCAGCTTTGGGGTCTGCAGGTCCCTGCTCAGAACCTTAACCACCACTTTTAGTCCTCCCTTCTGTTTTCTAGCTTTCTATCTGGCTCATTGTCACGTAATCCCAGATGGAGAAGGCCAACGCCCCTCCACTTCCAGCATGAAGCAGTTATAGAAAAAGGACCATCCGCCTTCAACTCTCGGGTAATGAGGCAGGAAAAAAGCTAGACAAGGGAAGCGGGTAAGGAGGCTGGAGCAACTGCCTGCGTGGCTAGTTAGGAAGACCAATCAGGGCAGAAAACGCCCTGCTGGAGATAATACAGGTGGGAGATATTCAGTGGGGCGTGTCTAGCCAATAGCCAATGAGAGAAACCAGTGGGCTCAGCCACATTTAATATAGCCAATGAGGTAAATAAGTAGGTCCAGCTATATTTGATATAGCCAATGAGATTAATTGGTGGCCCAGCCTCTTTGATATAGCCAATGGGGTGAAAACAATTAGTGAGCTCAACCAATAAGCAACCACTTAAGGAATTTTTGAGCCCCAGGGACCGGGCTTGCCAGGGGCTCTGAAGCTACTGTTTCATTTTTGAGTTCTGACCTGTTCCTACATCTCAGAAGTGTACTTCCCCTTTTGCTTAATAAATTATCCTTCAGGATCAGCAGATGGCATAATGGTTACGTTGCTGGGCTCCCTCGTAGGCCATCGGGTTCGAGTCCTGGACCCTGTGGCTTAAAACTCACACCAGTTGCATTTGCGTGCATGCCCAAAATCCCGAGAGGAGAATGGAGGAGGGATTGTGGTATGGTCATCCCCGTGGGGGCTGATTTCTCATTTTCCGTCTCTCTGTCTCTCTGGTGAACGCACAAGCCCTATAGCAAAAATCTAAGACAAAAAAAATTTATTCTTTTCTTTCTGTATTGGTATGTTTCCTTCAATTATCCAAAACAACAAGAACCTGGAGAGTCATCCTGCAACATATATTGTGGTGAGCCAGCTGGAGGTAAGCCCCTAACTGGGGACCCCCTCCCCCATTTCTTAGCCTCTTTGTCATTTTCATCTTTACTTCCGTTGGGTCTCTCAGCCACAGCAGGCTCACCAAGGTGGGATTGACAGTTCTTGTTATGAACAATTCCCATCTAGGGCTGGGTACCCGTTAAAGGTCTACCGTTATGGCCTTAAGCCCTTAGTAGAGAGACTCTTCTCTCTCCTTTTCTCTCCTTCCCCTGCACTTGTTTGGGCATGAAGCAGGCTATTAGGGGATCATTAGAAAAATCATGTCTTCTGGGAAAAATGAGACAGGAAGAAAGCGAAGCCATGGAAGGTGGGTAAGGAGGTTGGAGCATCTCTTTGTAGCTCCTTGGTAAACCTGATCACAGGGCTGGCCGGTGGCGTGGTGGTGAAGGTGATGAACTCCTCCATGGCTGACTGCAGTTTGCGTCCTGGACCTGGTGGTTTGCTCTCTCCCTTTCTTTCTCTCTAGTCATATTAAAAAATAGTAATAGGGAACCAGCAGTTAGCATAATGGCTATGTCGCTAGACTCCCACGTAGTCGACCGCGGTTCGCGTCCCGGACCCGGTGGCTTAAAACTCACACTGGGCACATGTGCGTGCGTGCCCAAGATCCCGAGAGGAGAATGGAGGAGAAGGGATTGCGGCGTGGCCATCCCCCCTGGGGGGTGATTTCTCACTTTCTGTCTCTCTGTCTCTCTCTGTCTGTCTGGCGAGCGCACACGCCCTATAGCAAAAACCTCTCCAAAAAAAAGAAAAAAAAGTAATAATAAAAGTATTTTAAAAATTCTAAAATTTAAAAAAAGAAAGAAAAAAAATCAGGGCAGAAAATGCTCTACTGAAGCAGTGTAGGTGGGAGATTCTTGGTCGGAAGGACTGATAGCCAATTGAGATGAATCAGTGGGCCCAGCCATGTTTGATATACAGCCAATAGGAAAAAAGCAATTAGTGGGTTGAGTCAGTGAGCAACCAGTGAAGGAATGAGAAGCCCCATGGAAGGGGATAGCTGAGGCTCCTGGCCTGTTCCTACCTCTCAGGAGTGTACTTTCCCTTTTGCTTAAGAAATTGTCCTTTGATACCAGCAGATGGCGTAATCATTACACCACTGGACTCCCACGTAGATCGACCACAGATCAAATCCTGGACCCGGTGGTTCAAGTCCTGGACCCTCTCTTGTGTTTGGGCCACTCCTATGTCTTGGGAGTATGCTATCACTTTGTTTAGTAAGCTATTCTTTAATTTCTTTCTTTCCTTCCTTCTTTCTTTTCTTCTTTTTTTTTTTCTTTTTAGAGGTTTTTGCTTTAGGGTGCATGCACTCGCCAGAAAGACCGAGAGAGACAGAGAGATAGAAAGCGAGAAATCACCTCCCAGGGGGGATGGCCACGCCGCAATCCCTTCTCCTCCATTCTCCTCTCGGGATCTTGGGCATGCAAGCACACGTGCCCGGCGTGAGTTTAAGCCACCAGGTCTGGGACTCAAACTGTGATCGACTACATGGAAGTCCAGCGACATAGCCATTACACCAACTGCTGGTCCTCATTTATTTTAATTGGACGAGAGAGAGGGAGAGAAAGGAAGCCACCAGGTCCAGGACTCAAACCATGGTTGGCCACATGGGAGTATCCAGCATCTTAACCACCACACCACCTGCTGGTCCCCAATTGTTATTTACTCTTGTTGAATCAACTCCTTTTAAAATTTATTTAGGTATTTTCTTTTTTTTTTTTTAAAGAGAAGCCACATAGGATGGAAAAGCCCAGTGAAAAGGGCTGGCTTCTTTTTTTTTTTTTTGAGAGAGGTTTTTGCTTTAGGGTGCATGCACTCGCCAGAAAGACAGAGAGAGACAGAGAGACAGAAAGCGAGAAATCACCTCCCAGGGGGGATGGCCACGCCGCAATCCCTTCTCCTCCATTCTCCTCTTGGGATCTTGGGCACGCATGCACACG